AATTGGAAATTTGGCAACATTGTATCTATTAGACAGGACAAAAATTAGCTGGAGCTAAGTAGCAACTGCTCTCTATAGGAAAGACATGTATTTCCTAGGTGACCCACCCCATTTTGTTCATTTACATTACTTTCCTGATGCCTGAAACTCTTTGAGTTTTAATCTCTTTAATCTTCTTTAGATTCTGAGATCACTCAACAACCTTTAGGTTATGATTTAATTTCCCTTAAGTCTGACTGTATGGGAAGTATCATTTGGCACTCCAAAATTTTGGCTCCAGTGCTATGATTTCTTATAGACAAGTATTAAGTAGCATGTGGTTGTAATTTTTCATTGTATCACAACAGATTACAGGAATGAATGTGCTAAGCACACCAACATGAGGATTCCAATGGGTCTATTGGTTATCTATTACTTTATATTATTAAACTTCAATAAACTGTCTACCACAATAATTGTAAATTTTAATAATGTGAGTCGTTTATATCAGGGCCTGGTCATCTCTGACAAGAGTTAGTCTTCAGACCTTAGCAAAAACAAAGCCAGAGGTTGGCTCCCTAAATATTGAGGCCCTGCCCTAAGAAGGGTTATACAGCTCAAACCTGCCTTTCCTACAGTGCTTCTGAAATTTTAGTGAGCAAATTACCTGAAGGTCTTATTAAAATTCAGATGCTTTTTTTTTTAAACTGTATTTTCTTTATTTTTTTCCCCCCAAAGCCCCAGTAGATAGTTGTATGTCATAGCTGCACATCCTTCTAGTTGCTGTATGTGGGACGAGGCCCCAGCATGGCCGGAGAAGCGGTGCATCGGTGCGTGCCCGGGATCCGGGCCCGGGCCGCCAGCAGTGGAGTGCGCGCACTTAACCGCCAAGCCACGGGGCCGGCCCAAAATTCAGATTCTGATTCAGTACATCCTGAGTGGGGCCAGAGATTTAGAATCTCTAACAAGTTCCCTGATTGCACGTTGCGTAGCAAGACCTTAAAAGACACTTCCTGAGTCCCACTGCTAATTTCTGTTGGACTGATCGCTTCAGCCTTCTCAGGACAATGAAGAAATCAGACTGGAATATGATGCCCCAAATAGCCCCTGTTCTCTTCAACATTCCCCATTCCTCATTTCCACCCCCACCCCACCCTCACACACATCAGAAAGCTGAGAATCCAACTAACAGAAACATAACCAGGGCAGAGCAAATCTTTCCCTTCCTTCATCACATATTATAGAGCACCACATGTACAGAGCAATATGTTAGGTGCTAGGGGAAACAAAGATGATTAAGACAGGACCTCAGCCTTGAGTTGATCACAAACAAGCAGAGGAGACAGAGATATACAGAGATACCTCACAAGTGGAAAGGAACTAAGGTAATAGAAGCATAGAGGCAGGATTTAATTCCACAGGGAGTGAGGGAGAGTGTAGGACAGTGATTCTTAAGCTGTTGTCCCAGTACCAGTAGCATGGGCATCACTTGGGAAAATGTTAGACATGCAAATTCTCAGACTTCCCCCAGACCTACTCCAGGGGTGGTGTGGGGGCAGCAATCTGTTTAATAATCCCCCCAGGTGATTCTGATACATGCTAAAGTTTGACAATTGCTGGTCCACAAAAACTTCACAGAGAAGACATTTGAGTTGGACCTTAGAGAATTAATATTTCATCAGACAGAAAGGGAAAGGGCATTCCAGGAGATAGATCACAATGAACACAGGTATGGAGATGTAAAAGTGAAATGTATAAATATGTTGGGGAAATAGCACATAATAAGGAGTGTGAAAGGAGGAATGGAAAACATAGCCAGAGAGGTAAGCTGGGGCCAAATTATGAAGAGCCTCAAATTTTATACCATGAAGTTTGAACTTTATAGACATAAAGAAAACACAGTTTTAAAGCAGGAGAGTGACATAACCAGAACTGTATTTTAGACCTACAGACAGGATTGATTTACAATAAGGCTCCCAATCAGGAGGCTATTTTGTGCTGGCAAGAAATAAGAGCTAAACAAAGGCAGTAGAACAGAAAAAGAAAGGAGGGAAAATATATAATAAACATTTTCAAACTAGTATAAACATGTTGTACTGAATAACGGTTTAAGACCACAAGCTGTAGGGCCAAACTGCCTGGCTCTGACACTTTTTAGCTCTGTGTGGCTTTGGAAAATTTAATTCTGTGCCTCAGTTTTCTCATTCATAAGAAAGAGAAACTAATAATAGTTCCTACCTCATAGGATTATCATGAGGAGTAAATAAATTAATAACATAAAGTGCTTAGAACAGTGCCTGGTATGTAGTAAACACTCAATAAATATTGTGTGTGTTTTATAGGGAGTATTACGTATAAGACTTCTAGCTCAGGCTAGAAGATAATACCACGATGAGATGAGTTTGGAACATGCCGAATTTCAAATATCTAGAGGAGCCCTTCATTTCTCTGTACCTCAATTCCTGATGTCTTAACAATTGGACTTAGGTACTTAGGGTGCTCCCAGGAAACTGGTGGACAGGTGAAATGAGCACAGGTAAAAGTGTGGTCAACAGGAGCAGATTTCAAGGACTTGGATAATCCTTGCTGCTCGGGCCCTGTTTCTAGTCTTACACAGAAGGTTCCGGTTTATACTTTTTAGATGTAGTTAGGTGCAATTAGTGTAAATGTAGCTGAAGAAATTAAAGCAATAGTGAGATACTATGGTAGTCAATAGTGCTGGTTCATCAAATACACCTAGTTCTTCTTCCTCCCAGAGATGAGACATGACTGTTCTTCCCGGCCCCCTTGTGGTTGGGTAGGACTTTATGACTCATTCAGGCCAATGAATCGTAAATGAAAGTGTCCTGAGTCATTTAATTGCCAACTCAAGACCTTCTAGCATTCTCTCCCTCTAGCATGACTTACTCATCAACCTGGGTTCCTGAGTAGCTATCATGAGCAGAGCTCCACTGTCAACTTTCTAGGGATGATTATGCAGTGTGAGCAAGAAATATGCGTTTTTTGTTTTAAGTTCTTGGAGTTGTTTGTTTCCACAACATAACCTAGTCTATCCTGATACACATACTATTTTAACACATACCAAATTCTTAAAAATTAAATAGTTAACGTCCAATCCTAATGGGGGTGTGGGGAAACAGACACTTGCAGAGACTTGCTAGTGGAAGCAAAAATTGTTTCAACCTTTTTGAAAAGTAATTTGACAGCAGATTCTATTAAAATGAAAAAAGTACTTTTTTTTCTACTCAGATTTCATTTTGGGGAATCTCTTCTACAGAAATAAAAGTACTACTTCAAAACGATGTTAATGTTTATTGTTGCATCATTTGTAGTGGCTAAAAACTGAAAACAATCTAAATTTCTAAATATGGTTTAGCCATACTATGAAGTAGTATGCAACTGTCAAAAAGACAATTTTTTTCCTTTTTATTGACTTCAAGGGATGTCCACATGTTAAATGAAAACAAAACAAAACAAAAATCCATATGCATGATCTTGTACCTACAAGCCTAGAAAACTGAGCTGTTTTACCTCAAAGGAGCAGGGATGGTAAGTGGTGCAGAGAGGCGAGGATATTATCATGTTTTTCTTATTACATCTTAATATTCTTCCACTTGTTACAATTTGTACGACTTATGTAATAAACTCAAGTAAAAGTGAGAAAAAAAATCTAAACCTGAGTGTTTGCCCACTGAATCTTTACACAAACAGTATTTCTGCCACTGGTTATGGGTGGCGGAAGAGGCAGAGCTTCTGTAATGTACTGCAGGCCACGCCTACTTTACCCTGCCAGTTGCTTCTCACGTGTGCCCTGGAAAGCTCTGCTTGGACGCATGCGTACTCGCCGAAGTTTGCCTAGCCTCTGAGGGGCACCCGGCGGCATTGGGTTTGACCCCGTCAGGCTACCGTCGTGGCGACCGGAAGAGCACCTGAGGTTTGCTTCCGGCCGTCTCTTTTGCTTCCCCTTCCCTCCCTCACGCTTTGCCCCCTCCCTCTGCTCCTTTTCCCTTCAGTTTCGTTCTTTCCCATCCAGGCCGACCCCTGAGTCGTGAGTCTGGGGTCTGGTTGGTGAAAAAGAACTGTTGTAGCTGGAAGCAGGGAGGTGTGGAAAATACTGTTAATTGAGGTATTTGGAGAACAAGGGCTTGTCTGAAATGTTTTGTTTGTGGGAGGAGGTCGGGGGAGGGTGGGAAGGAGGTCTTCCCCGAGAGGCGAGCGGGGGCGGGGTCGAGCTGGATTTGCGGGTGTGTGGGACGCACCCCTAAAATGGGTAGCACGGGGGTGGGGCAGTGTGTGGGCAAAGGAAAAATGGAGGCGGTGAGAACTGGCGCTGGGGTCGCACGGCGTTCTGGCATCAGTTTTGCTTTAACCATTTGAGCAAAAAAGCAGTTAACACCAACATGTGGGTTATTTAGATTGTAGATTTTAGGTAGCCACATTTTATTTCCAGATTGTTTAATTTCCGTTAACTTCGAGGAAACCTCTTTGCTGCAAGCTTTTGTGTGCTTAAGTAGTAGAGACTTTTTAAAAAGTAAATTTCCACATGGAAGCAAAGTAGTGTAAGGGGAACAAGTAATTAAACAGAAAACGAATTAGTGAGTTATAGACCAACCCCTCCCCTTCAGGTTGGGGATATTTGTTCAAATTAGGTATAGCATGCAAAGATTTATCTTATTAGTCAGTTAAGGAACACAGATCACAGAAATATCTTCCTCAGTAAATTGATTCTCTTCAGTTTCCTTTTATTTTCGGTAGCTCCCTGTTGCATAATATATGTTCTCCATGTACTCTCAAACTTTTAAATCTTATTCAGGCATATAGTCTATAGCATGAGATGAGAACTCTACAAAATCTCAGCATCAGATACTGGAGAATGGGGAGAGAGAACATAGAATCAAACCTAACTATATTTGAATAACAAGTAGCAGAGTAGGAATGAGTTTTATTAGGGGACTGAAATTGTGGTTATAATGACTCCAAACGTAATTTTAGTTTTCTGTTCCATGTAGAGGACAAACAGTATGACCTCCCTCCCCGGGTGCATTGGTTTGAATGCAGCAACAGCTGCAGTGGGGTCTGAAGAGATTGCAGAGCTGCAGAAAGCAGTGGTTGAGGAGCTAGGTATTTCTATGGAGGAACTTCGACAGTTCATTGATGAAGAACTGGAAAAGATGGACTGTGTACAGCAGCGCAAGAAGCAACTAGCAGAGTTGGAGACATGGGTAATACAGAAAGAATCTGAGGTTGCGCACGTTGACCAGCTCTTTGATGATGCATCCAGGTGAGGGCTACATAGGAAATAGAAGGAATTCTCTCCATTGGCAGACGTTTTTAAAGTATAATTGTTCATGGTGTGCCAAACACTTTATACTTTACAAAGTATGGATGTGTAGAACCTTACTCTTCGTCAAAGGGTAGAGTCCAAAATCTGACCTCATGAATATAGAATATTCATCTATCAGAGGCTAATATATGATCAGCAGTAGAGGAGTCCAGGTCTTGAGTCCCTTCCCCTTCTTCCTCCTGCACTCTACTTCAGAACAATTGCTTTGTTTTCTTGGTAGAATCAAGGGGGACTGTAAAGAGTTGCTGTCTTAGGTAACTGTGGAGCATTAATAAGTTCCTAGAGACCTATATGTACTCCTAAACCCCTAGAAGATTTGTTTCTGGTGCCCTAGTTGTCACTTAGAACACATTTTCAAATAACGACAAGGTAAATAATGAGGTAAGATTGAAAGGACCTACTTTGGGCTTATTTTGAATTTTTGAGGAACTAGTCTGGAAACCACTATTTAAATATTTTTCTATGGGAAAAACATTTTAAATTCTAAACAGAGACACTTTGGAATATGGCCTGTTTAAATTGAGGTCACTGTGTAGTTAAATGTGTATAAATTCTAATGGCTCCTACACCTGCTTTTGCTGGCTTTGACCTTTTCTACATGTGTTCCACTATTAGGGCAGTGACTAATTGTGAGTCTTTGGTGAAGGACTTTTACTCAAAACTGGGACTACAATACCGGGACAGTAGCTCTGAGGATGAAGCTTCCCGGCCTACAGAAATAATTGAGATTCCTGATGAAGATGATGATGTCCTCAGTATTGATTCAGGTGAGAGATGAGGCTGTGGATAGGAAAATCTCAGGATTGAAATTGAAACACCGGAAGATGAGCAGATAGAAGATAGAAGAGAGGAGAAACCATTGTTACTAACTCCATATCCCAAACTGTTGGACTTGTCACAGAAAAAAATAGAACGTTGTTAGTATCATAGATGTCCCCTAAGTGCTACTTCCTGATGGAATTACCCTCCTTTCCCCATTCTATATAACCTCTATTCTGAAATCCTTTGCTTTTCTTTATAGGTGGCAGTAGCACCTATGTATGTGTATCTCAAAACAGTATATTGTTTGGTTTTGTCTATTTTTTAACAATTTGTTTAAGGTATAATTTACATACTGTAAAATTCACCCACTTTAAGTGTAGAGTTTTGTAGAATTTATACAGTAGTACAGTCTTCACCACAGTCCAGTTTTAGTACACTTACCTCACCTCAAAAAGTTCTCTTGTGCCTGTTTGCCATCAGTCTCCATTGTCACCCCTAGCAACCACTGATATGATTTCTTTCTCTAAAGTTTTGCCTTTTCTAGAAATTTCACATAAATAGAATCACAATATGTTGTCTTTTGTATCTGACTTCTGTCGCTTAACAGTGTTTTTGAGGTTCATCCATTTTGTTGCATGTATCAGCAGGGTATTCCTTTTTTGCTGAATAATATTCCATTGTACGGCTATAACACGTGTTTTTATCTGTTCCTCAATTGATAAACATTTGGGTTGTTTCCACTTTGGGGCTACTGTGAATAATACTGCTATGAACATTTGTGTATAAGTCTTTACGTGGATGTTATGTTTCATGTCTGTTGTATATTCCACCTAGGAGTGGAATTGCTAGGTCTTATGGTAAGTGTATGTTTGAGTTTTTAAGAAACTGCCATACTGATTTCACTCATCTATGGAAGATAAACACATGGACAAAGAGAGCAGATTAGTGGTTACGAGAGGGGAAGGGGGTTGGGGGGTGGGCGAAAGGGGTAGAGGGGCACATATATATGGTTACGGATAAAAATTAGACTGTTGGTGGTGAGCACAATGCAGTCTATACAGAAACTGATAAATAGTAATGTACACCTGAAATTTCACAATGTTGTAAACCATTATGACCTCAATAAAATAATTTAAAAAGAAAAGAAACTGCCAAACCCTTTTCCAAAGTGGCTATACCATTTTACATTCCCACTGCCAAAGTATGGGGATTCCAGTTTCTCTACGTCCTTGTCAATGCTTGGCATTGTCAGTCTTTTATTTTAACTGTTCTATTAGCTGTTTAGTGGTATCACACTGTGATTGTAGTTTACATTTCCCTAAGGACATTGAGCATCTTTTCACATACTTATTTGCCGTTTATGTATGTTCTTTGAGGAAATATCTATTCAAATCTTTTGCCTTTTTTAAAAAATTGGGTTTTTTTTGTCTTTTTATTATTGACTTGGAAGACTTATTATACTTTAGGTATAATTCATTTATCAGATATATTTTAGAAACATTTTCTCCTAGATGTCTTTTCATTTTCTTAATGGTGTCTTTTGAAGAGTAAAAATTCTTGAGGTAAGGGTTGAGGGTGCTTTGTTTATGGCTGTCCAGTTCTTCCACCACCATTTGTTGAAAAGACTACCTTTTTAGATAATCAACTAGCCATATATTTGAGGGTCTATTTCTGGATTCTATTCTGTCGCATTGATCTAAAAGTCTATCTTTGTAATGGCACCACACTGTCCTAATTACTGTAGCTTTATGGTAAGTATTAAAAATCATTTAGTGAAAGTCCCTCAAATTTATTTGTATTTCATATACATGCCAAATAAATTTTAGGAACAGCTTGTCAGTTTCTAACAAAAAAAATTTTTTTTAACCTGCTAGGATTTTTAATAGTTAACTGTATTGAATCTAAAGATCGATTTGAGGAGTATTACCTTTTTAACAAATACTGAGTCTTCTAATGCGTGGACATGGTACATCTCTCCTAAGTATTTTATTCTTTTTAATGCTAATGTGAATGGGATTATTTTCTTTTTTTTTTTTTTTGGTGAGGAAGATTAGCCCTGAGCTAACATCCGTTGTCAATCCTCCTCTTTTTACTGAGGAAGATTGGCCCTGGGCTTAACATCTGTGCCCATCTTCCTCTACTTTATATGGCACACTGCCACAGCATGGCTTAACAAGCGGTGCGTCGGTCCACGCCTGGGATCCGAACCTGCAAACCCCAGGCCACTGAAGCAGAACCCGAAAACTTAACTGCTACACCACTTGGCTGGCCCTCTTAATTTCATTTTAGGAGTTTGTTGCTAGGATATAAAAAATGTAGTTGATTTTTGTGTTTTGATCTTGTAGCCTGTGACCTTATTAAGCTCATTTATTCTAGGAGCCTTTTGTGGATCCCTTAGGATTTTCTATGTATTAGATCATGTTGCCTGCAAATAAAGTCAATTTTACTTCTTACTTTCTAACCTGGATGTCTTTTATTTATTTTTCTTTCCTTATTGTACTCACTAGAACCTCCAGTACAATATTGAATAAAGGTTTTGAGAACAGACATCCTTTTCTTGTTCCTGATCTTAGGGGGAAAGCATTTGGTCTTTAGGCATTAATTATGATGTGAGCTATAGGTTTTTTGTAGATATCCTTTATCAGATTGAAAGAAGTTGCTTCTATTCCTAGTGCTGAGAGATTTTATCATAGCTGGATTGAATTTTAGATTTTGTCAGCTGCTATCCTCAGATGACCATATGGCTTTTGTTCTTTATCCATTATTAGGGTGTATTACAATAGTTATTTTTTGGATGTTAAACCAACCTTGCATTCCTGGGATAAACCCTCTGCCCCCCACCCTGCCCCTTTTGTCTCAGTGTGTAAGCCTTTTATATGTTGCTGTGTTGGATTTGCTAATATTTTGTTAAGAATTGCACCTGTGTTCATGAGGGCTATTGGTTTGTAGTTTTATTTTGACGTCTTTGTTTGGCTTTGGTATCAGGGTAATATGGGCCTTATGAGATGAGTTGGGACGTGTTCCCTCCTCCTGTGAATTTATGTGGAATGGTATTATTTCTTCCTTAAATGTTTAATAAATTTAGCAGAGAGATTATCTTAGCCTGGACTTTTCTTTGTGGAAAGATTTTTTTAAATAAGCTTTTTAGTTTGGAATAATTTTAGATTTATGGGAAGATTACAAAGATAGTAGAGAGTTTCTGCATAGAGAGTTCCTTTCACTAGTTTCCTCTGACATTAATATCTTATGTTACCATGGTGCATTGATCAAAACTAAGAAGCAAACATTGGTGCATTACACTTTATTTGATTTCTGGACTTTTTGTGTACCGGAATCCAATCCAGGATAGCACATTGAATTTACTGTGGGAAGGTTTTTAATTACTAATTCGTTTTCTTTACCTGATATGTCTATTTAGATTTCCTATTCCTTCTCAAGTTGGTTTTGTTAATTTGTGTCTTGCTAAGAATTTGTCCATTTCATCTAAGTAGTCTTAATTATTGCCATAAAGTTGTTCATAGTATTCCCTTATGACTCTTTTTAATTTCTGTAGGTTCTGTAGTGATGTACCTTCTTTCATTTCTGGTATTGGTTATTTGGATCTCCTCTCTTTTTCTTGGTTAGTCTAGCTAAAGGTTTATCGATTTTTTTGCTCTTTTTCAAGGAATCAATTTTTGGGTTCATTGACTTAGTTTCTCTACTGTTTTTCTGTTTTCTATTTCATTGATTTCTACTCTGATCTTTATTATTTTCTTCCTTCCACTTAATTGGGTTTAATTTGCTCTTCTTTGTCTAGTTTTTTAAAGTAGAAGCTTAGATTATTGATTTTAGACCTTTTCTCCTTTCTAATATAAGCATTTAAAGCTACAAATTTCCCTTTAAGCATTACTTCCCTGTATCTCATAAATTTTTATATGTTGTATTTTCATTTTTATTCAACTTATAATTTTTAATTTCCTTTGTGATTTTTCTTTCTGTGATTTCCAAATATTTGGGGATTTCCCAGATTTCTTTCTGTTGTGAATTTTAAATTTAATTTCATTGTGGTCAGAAAATATACTTTTTGTATGATTTCAGTTTTCTTAAATTTAATTTAGACTTTTTTTTAATGGCCTAGCATATTGTCTGTCCTGGAAAATGATCTATGTTTGCTTGAAAAGAATTTGTATCGTATTCTTCTGCTGTTGGATGGAGTGTTTTATATATGTCAGTTAGGTTAAGTTGGCTGATAGTGTTGTCCAAGTCTTCTGTATCCTTATTGATTTTCTGTTTAATTGTTCTGACAATTACTTGGAAAGGAGTTTTGAAATCTTGAACTAAAATTGTTGAATTGTTTGTTTCTCCTTTCAATTCTGTCAGGTTTTGCTTCCTGTATTTTGGGCCTTTGTTAGTTATGTATACAGATGACTTACCATGATTTGACTTAGTGATTTTTTGACTTTACAATGGTGCAAAAGTGATATGCATTCATTAGAAACCATACTTCATATTTTGAATTTTGATCTTTTTTCAGGCTAGCAATATGCAGTATGATACTCTCTCGTGATGCTGGGCAGTGGCAGCAAGCGCAGCTCCCAGTCGATCACAATGGTAAACAACCAGTACACTTACAACCATTCTGTACCCATACAACCAGTCTGTTTTTCACTTTCAGTACATTATTCAATAAATTACAGAGATATTCAACACTTTATTATAAAATAGGCTTTGTGTTAGTTGATTTTGCCCAACTGTAGCCTATTGTAAGTGTACTGAGCATGTTTAAGGTAGGCTAGGCTAAACTATGATGTTTGGTAGGTTAGGTGTATTAAATGCATTTTCAACTTATTGATATTTTCAAATTATGATAGGTTTATCAGGACATAACCCCATTGTAAGTCAAGGAAGATCTGTACATTTATAATTGTTTTATCTTCCTAATACATTGACCTTTTTATCATTATAAAAGGTCTCTTTATGTCTCAAGTAATATTCCTTGTCTTAAAGTCTGTTTTGTCTAATATTA